CCAAGAGTAAAACATATCCACTTGTGAATTTTACTTTATTTGATCCCGGTGATCCAATTTGCATCACTATATCCTTTCAATACTGCTGGATATTGTTATAATGCAAGACATAGTTTTGAGTATGTTTTAAATACCCCAAAAATCTTTCCATTGCCATCCAATTAGTTTGATTGAGATTACTTGTGAACCAACTCAGTTTACTAATAGCACATACTATATATCTGATCGCGTACACTTCTTGATATACATCATACTTCCCAATACTGTAGCACAATCCAATTGTGAGTCACTTTCGCCTTCACTCATTTGAAATGCAAAGCTCACATTTATGGGAGTCTTGACAATATTGAAATCCAAATATTTGAACTAGTCAAGTACCTTTTCGATGCAATGAGACCGTGACAATACTAAACATTATGGAGTTCTAAGAATTCTTATACGTAAGATCGCATCAGCAACTCCAAGATCTTTCATATCAAACTTGCTTTCTAGCATACATTTAGTAGCATTTATGTCATTAGTGTCTCTACTGATGAACAACATGTCATCTATATACAAACAAACAATAACCTTGTGATTTTAATGCAAACACATTTATCACTTTCATCATTCTTAAATCCATTTGTCAACATGGTTTGGTCAAATTTCTTATGTCATTGTTTGGGTGCTTGCGTTTTAGTCAATGGAGTGACTTAACAAGTTCACACACTTTCTTTTCTTTACCAAGAACCACAAAACCCTCGGACTGTTCCATGTAAATTTCTTCCTCCAATTCTCTATTTATGAAAATTATTTTCACATTCATTTGATGAATTTGGAGGTCATACACCGCAACTAATGCAATTAACATCTGAATGAATATAATTCTAGTTACTGGCGAGTATGTGTCGACAAAATCAAAACCTTATTTTTGTCTACAACCTTTGACAAAAATTCTTGCTTTGTATTTGTCAATAGTTCCATCGACTTTCATTTTCCTTCTGAAGATTCACTTTGAACCCACATGTTTATTTTCTGGAAGAAAATCAATTAACTTCCAATATGGTTGCTCAAGATTGAATCAATCTCACTATTGACACCATCTTTCCAAAAGGATGAGTCTACAGAAGACACAAGAAATATTACAAAATCATATTCGAAGGAAGTAGATGTCCTTTGACATTTACTACGCCTCTGAATCTCTTTATTAAGTACATTCTCCTTTTTTCTTTCCAAGGTATTTTAGACCCTTCACTAGACTACTCAAGTCTAATTTTACATGCCACAGTCATAAGTCCTATTTTAATCCTTTTAGGAATATGAACTTGGACTTTGGCTAGACACTCCCACACTTTGAAATATTTCAAGTTGGATTTTCATCCTTTCCATTTCTCATATGGAATAGATTGTGTCCTGAACAAACAAAACTTTTTATTGCTTTCTTTCTGAAAAGATAACTTTTTGTTGTTCCCTTTTGTTGTAAGGATAGCTTCTCCACACAAATTTTGTGGTAAACCTGAACTTATAAGTAATGTAGTCATCATTTCCTCAAAAGTTCGGCTTTTTTTACATTCTGGAATTCCATTAGATTGAGGTAAATAGGGCAGTAGTTTGATGTATAAATCCACTTTCCAAACATATTTCTGCAAAAGGAGATTTCTATTTTCCATCCCTATGACTTCTTATCTTTTTTCCAACTAATTTTCAACTTCAATATTATATTGTCTAGACATTTCTATTGCTTCGTCCTTACCATTCAACAAATAGACATAGTCGTTTCTAATGCAATTGTCAATGAAAGTTACGAGATACATTTTCCCACCACGAGATGGTATTAACTTCATATCACAAATGTCAGTGTAAATCAACTCTAAGAGATTAGAATTCCTTTCAACAGATTTATAAGAATGTTCAGCATACTTAGATTCCACACAAACTTGACATTTTTATTTTATTGCACTCAAAGTTAGACAAAACTTCTAAGTTGATCAGTTTTCCTTACAAGGTTTTGTAATTGACATGCCCCAAGTGTTCATGTCACAAACAGTTTGACTCAAGCAAGTAAGAACAAATAAGATTATTGAGTTTGAAAAGCTCTCCGCGAGGTAGCTTTTTCTCACAAATATTTTGTTCCTCTTTCTTACAATTTTGTGTGATACAAACACTGTTGAGAGTCATCACCTTGTCAAATGTCCTTTTCGGAAGGACCTTTCCATAACTTTCAATTTGATTGTTATAGAACTACCCATGAACAAAGTTTCATCGGGTCCAATAAAGGCAATATAGTCCAAATGCTTCTTTTACAAAACATGACAAATGACTATTCACCAATATTCATGTCTATACAAATAGTTATATTTAATAGACATATCTTTTCATGAAAACTCACAACATTTTGAGTGACACATTTTTAAAAATCACAACATTTTGAGTGACACTTTTTTCATAAAAGAACTCAATCATTTTGAACAAGTATACATATAATTTGGTAGTTTCATACTAGTCATACCATATACTAGTAAACTAGTAAACGAGAAACTCAACGACCACAATATCAAATATACTCCAAGAATTTTGTGGGTCTAACATAATACAAAAGTATCATTGAATTTCATTTCTTGTGCTCCAAATTTAAATTAGACACTAAGTCTAATTTTATCTTTGTCATATGCAAAGAACCCCCCACATTTTAAATATGATCTCAAAAATATTTTTCAAGTATTTGAAAATAGTTTTTCCACATATCTGTTTTTCTCTTGCTATCAAAGTGTCATTGGCAACATGAAACCACTTTTGAAAATATTATTCTACAAAAGAATTATAGTGCTTCAATTCTATTTGACAATTTTGATACAATGTCAAAGTTCATTCCATAGAGGCACAAAATCACAAACTCTAAGTCACTGGTATTTTTTCTCTATCACAAATATACATACCACTTAGTATTTAAAATACTAACAATAAATACAAAAATATTTGTACAATTTGTTTCTATATAACAGTGAAGTTTATAGAAAATCAAAAGTACAACATTGATTTATTATGTGACGTTTTCATATTCTTCAAATCAATTGCATAGTCTAATTTATCCAGAGTAGAAAACTACAAAAGTTTTTAGTCTACAAAATCAGACACAATCAAATTTCACATGGAATACAAAACTACAAAAGTTTTTTTCAGTCTCCAAACATAATTGAACATATTCATATATTATCACATAGATATGCTTTTCTTTTCAAATAGTCTTCCAATATTACTGGCAAAAAGTGCTTTTTTATTTAAGAGTTGGATAGTTAAAGTGTCTCTTTATGCACTTTGAAAATTTAAGGTCAAAGTTAAATTTTGAAGCCAAGTTAAGAGTCCTATTTATGTGTTATGCCTAATTGATATTGCAGAAGAAAACATATGGTCAGTAGTTAGCGATTTCCTGCAAAGTCCTAAGTTATAATATCGAACCAAAAGTATAAATTGGTGACAATATAAAATTCATACTCATAAAGTACAAAATAAAAAAAGCATAATACATAAATATGCCCTTTAGTTTAGTTTGAACTGACATCTATATTGTTCTACTTTGAGTGTGCACAAATAGACACTTAAACTTATATAAAATTGAACAAGTAGACACACATATCTTACGTGACATAATAATACACATAGAACGCCACATAGGACACAAAATTGCCATGTAGGACGCCATACAAATGTGTCTATTTGTTCAATTTTATACAAGTTTAAGTGTCTACTTGTGCACACTCAAAGTTAAAGGTCATAGTTATCAACTGAAGCCAAGTTAATGATCATATTTATATATTATGTCAATAATATGATATCATTGTTATGAGTTGTGACTTTAATTATAGAAAAAATAAGGAACAAAATATAAAATTAATGCACAATCTTATGAGCTCCTTTTTATATCCACTTCGACAAGACGACCATCCTTCTATCTTATTATTTCTAGTCAAACTAAAACATGAATATAATAACCATATAATGTGTATTTTTCGATGAGCTTTCGATGACATACCAAAATAATATAGTGGACAATTATTGTTGGACGGAGGAAACAAAATTTTAAAAAACTACTCCCTCTGTTCAACAATAATTGTCCACTATACTATTTTGGGATGTCCAACAATACTTGTTCACTTTATGAAATTAATGGATAATTTTTACGCTTAGTTCTTAATTTATATTTATCATTAATTATGATCATTTTTCTATTATATTTTTCAAGATATTATATTTATTATATTCAAAAGACAATATAGTAAAATTATTCTTTTATTTATAGTTTTTGTTGGACGGATGGAGTAATGTGATCATTTATAAAAAGTCATAGGTTTTCGTATTTTTCACATACATTGTTGTCATAACTTTTTGGGAAATTGACTAATGTGTGTTTTTCGATGAGCTTTTAATGTAAAAGTTTTAACGTACATTTGTGTAGATTTCCCTTTTGTCCTCATCTATCTTATGTTTTTAATTGTAAAGGAAAAAATTTCAAATATGTTATCAAATTTTAAGAAAAATAGGTCAATTTGTGTAATTGATTAAAAGTTTGATTCATTTATGTCATTTTTATTTGAGATGAAACTCATCTATGCCATTATTTGTTAACTGAATATAAATTAGATGTTGCAAATTTATTCCGTATACGTGGTTTGTTATGATTCGTTTACGTCATTAATTAAATCATTTTTAAAAGGGAAATGACTTAAATATGTCATCGAACTTTGAGAAAAAGATCCATTTATGTCATCCGTTAAAAATTTTGCTCATCTCATCTAAGTTAACAAATAATGACATGGATGAGTCTTTTCTCAAACGAAAATGAAGTAGTTGAGACAAACTTTTAACAATGCCATAAATGGGCATTTTCTCGGAGTTTGATACATATTTGAGTCTTTTCTCTTTAATAAATAAGCAAGCCAACTCCATAGAGAAACTTAACCATCTCTCATTTCTCACCCTTCTTTCATTTCAAGAATTTAGTATACCATTTCAAGATTTTGATCATGGCTAAACAAGTTACAGAGCCTCTTGGTACTTTGAGGGTACTGATGTTCCCATTTTTGGCTTATGGACACATCTCTCCATTTCTAAACGTAGACAAGAAACTCGCGGATAGGGGATTCTTGATTTACCTCTATTCTACGCCCACCAATCTCAAATATGCCAGCAAGAAAATCCCCGGAAAGTATGCTGATTCGATTCAGCTTGTCGAACTTCACTTACCAGAATTACCCGATCTTCATCCTCATTACCATACGACCAATGATCTCCCACTCCATCTCCATAACACCCTTCAAAAAGCCCTGAAAATGTCCAAACCAAAATTTTCAAAAATCTTGCAAAATCTGAAACCTGATTTGGTGATTTATGACATATTGCAGCAATGGGCTGAACGTGTCGCGAATGAACAGAACATTCTAGCAGTTAAGCTCCTAACTTCGGGTACAACTGTGTTTTCGTATTTTACCATATCACTGAGTAAACCAGGGGATGTATTCCTATTCCCTCAAATTTATCTCAGGAAAAGTGAACAAGTAAAAATGAATGAAACTTAAAATGTGCTAATTGTTGGAAAAATGATTCTAGTATCTCAAAAGAAATTATTTTATTTCTTATTATACTTGAAAGAGAATATTATTTTATGTCCTAAATATTTTCTCTCCATAAATAATATTCTATTGCCATTATTATTATCCTTTAATTAGTCATTATTTTATGTCATAATATGACTGTTGCCAAACGTCTCTTTGCTGAAATGAATTGCCTTCAATTTATTAATTGTGTTCAATACCTTTTATGGCTTTTGACTATTTCAACAATTGGCAGATTAGAGAGGTTACTAATTTCTTATATAAATCTAATTCTTACCGATGGTGAGGGAGAGTGGATACAAGATAACAATTCTTCTTTTAATATATTCTTCTGCTGAGTTTTCTTTGTATGGAATCTTTGTTAGTTTTTGGCTCCTAATTTTATACTAGAAGAGCTTGTTGAATTCTAGGGATACACCCATACCGGGTGAAATATCCTTAAGGACAATGTCTTTCGAGACGCCTCAAGCTATGAGAATTTCCTATAAGAGTTATTGGTGAAGTAGTAAATTCGGTACAAGTGTTCGTCAAGAAGGTATTTTCCGTAAGATTACAAAGGATATTTCAGACTTCAATCTTACGGAAATTCAACCAATAGCAACATGACAAGATAAATTTCTCACTGCTCATGTACGTTGATTTTTGCAGCATCATTTGAAAATATTTTCTTTTAACAAAAGATAAAGGCATGTGTTCTGAGCTTTGTTTTTATTTTGCATTAGCTCGGGTATTTAGTTTCTCTTTGGATAATTGACAAATCATTAAATGATAATCAATCAAATTGATCCTTATTTGAAGTAGTGTATTACTTTTAAATAATTTGATACGCATATACACTTGTCAGTTCAAAAAGAAAAAGAGATTAGCCTAACATTTAGATTGGAATCAATTTTTGAGTTTTACAATATCGAGATTTTGTGGTAAAATATTGGCGTTGGATTACTGGAGATATTTTTCAAAGAGATAATTAGAAAGAATTAGAATAAATTTATCGGTTTCTTTTATTTAATTGGATGACTTTGCTTAATATTTTGATCACCGATAACAATGTAGCATATTATGTGAGAAAAAGTATATAAAGCATGTTGTTTGATCTATTAAGTGTGCATTGTCAGTTTTGGAAAAGTATAAAAGCTGATGAAGGTAAGTAATGATAATATGTGTATATATTTTTAATGATTATTATTTGTGTGTGGTGAAATAAATCAACATGCTCCTTATGTGAAGAAGATTCGGAGAAATGATAATTCCGTTAAGTAAAAATAAATGTGACTAAGCAGATGATAAAATTGTTGTGATCATTTCTCAAGTGAATTTTATGGATAATATGTGAAAGTGAAAGATTGGGTATTAGATATTTTTTGTGCTACTAAGCAATTTTGTGCTCTACACCCAAATTGAAAACTGAAGAATGTTTTTATATATGCTAGTGATTCTTGAACTACTTAAGTTCTTAGAATGAAAAACTCTTCTTAAAATTTCACATCTATTGACACTATCTGAGGTGGTACATGATATTAGTATTTTTACAATTTGAATCTTATGGAATTATGAAAAAAGATTGAATGAAGATTTTACTTGAGTTTGATTATGTATTAAAAATGTTGATAGGACAATGAATATTTTATACTTGATTGTTTGCGATAATTCTTGATGTGTTAGACTTCTAATCTATTTAATTTATTTTTGTTATGTTTTGGTGTATAGATTTATATGTTACATAGTAATTTGAAAACTTTATGGATGTTGAAAAAGTTAATCCTCTATTATGAAATATTCAAAAGTGTAGGGGTATCTTGTTAAGGTTGTGTTACATGATTCTTAGAAAAGAGAAATAAGATCTAAGTTTTAATTGACTCTACAGACACGACTTCATAGACACCCTAGGACTCTTGAATTCTGTGCTCTAATACCAAGTTTGCCACGCCCTGAGCCTAGACATGGCCGACACTCGAGAACCATTGTTGGTCCCTAAGTGAACCCTTGGCCTGACTGACTACTTAGCAGAAGACTTACTCAAGAAAATAGGAAACTTTAAATGCATAATTAAACTCAATAGTCTCAATTAAATTCAACTCAAATAAATGTCTGGAAATACTTAATAAAGTATAAGTAATAGTTTTCAAGATCTCGAAACAGAAAGGAACATACTGAGAGACTCATCAACTCTAACTATCTATGAAGCCTCTAATACTATGATAGATGTCAGAACAAGATCCATGACAACTCAATAATAACATGAATCTAAATGTGAAATTCTCCGAAAAGCAAGGGGACCCACCAAAGCTGTCTGAAGCGCAAAATGATCTCAACAATGCAGGTCGAAAGACATCAGTACATTTGAATGTACGAGTATGTAATATGGCTGAATTAAACAATAACTGAACTGAAGGACTTCAAGCAACTCCACTAAATCAATACATGGATATGAAGTGAAAATCCTTTAAACTTTAAAATAAGATATGCAATAAAATCAATATGAAAATAATATACTTTACTTGTGGGGAGTTTCTCTAATTGACAACCATTACTATGAGCCTAGCAATGATACAACGTTTCACCCACATTGCAAGGGACATCCTATATCTTACTGGGGGTATATGATGATACTGTAACTATGACTCCATCTAATAGGCCTTCTTAGAGGCAGTGACGAGTCACATGAAGAATCAGTGCTATTCTTATATCCTACGCCGGCTACATAGTTTTATGAGACTTTTGAGTTATAATAGACTCTTATCCAATTCGGTGCTCGATACTACTCCCAAAATAATCAATATAACTTTATGCTCAATTCATCCTTTACAAAGAAAGGGACTATTATTACTTTCTTGTCACTTTGCTTTTTTGAAGCACATTTCAATACATCAATTATGCTCTTTCTCAACTGTCAAATGGTACATATGAAAACATTTGATTCTCTTTTTTAGGATTCTGTTCAAAACTTACACTTTTAAAACGATTCATGAACTTATCTTTCAAGCCCAAAATCAATACATGAGGAACTTCCATGCAATTTTCTTTGAACACATAACTTTACTAAATCAATAGGGTTCATGTGATACTAAGCATGAACAACATTATAAGATTCACATGCCAAAATAGGAATCAAAACCTCAACTTTTAAAGAATTGAATTCAAACACCAAGAACTATGAATAGATCCTTTAGATGTAACGATTTCTAACTGAATTGAGATGTAGGGCGTGAGGACGAACTAGTCCAATACTATGAATAACCTTACATACCAGCCGGAAGAACGAAGTTCTTTGGCGAAATCAAAAAAACTTGAAGTACGCTCGAAACCCTAGTTTTTCTCCTCTTGGAACATTACTCTAATGACTTGAATTGTTAGTGAATGTAAAAGAACTGATTAACACTTACCAAGCCCTCAATTAGGTGTAAAACGTCGTGGTTTAGGCTTAGAATAAGGGTTAAAACGACGTACTTTGAGTACCAAACGCATAGGAGAAAGACCAAAATAACCCCAACTTTTAAAACTGAAAAGGTGCCTTAAAGGGAGGTTGCATGGACTGTTTAAGGCTTCACGGTCCGTGAAACACTTCACAGGCCGTCTAGCCGGTCAGCAAGCTTCACTTGCTCCACAGGGCAGCACTAAAACAAATGTAACTTTTTGCTCCAAACTCGAAATGAGAAAAACCTGGTGGCGCTGGAAAGAGGACTCAAAGACCATAAATTTGATAGGTCACGGGCCACCTAATTCATTATGTGCAGAGAGATATGATCGTTTGAAGTTGACACCCAAAACTTAAAAAATTTATGGGTGACTTGTACTGACCCCTAAACGGACCGCACAAGTCACCACGGGCCGTCTAGGGTCTCATCTAGGTGAGCTTCACCTTGGCAGCCTTGGACGGTCGTCCACCATGCTCTAAACGGGCCGTGGATCCCTAAAAGGACCGTTTAGGGTGCCGTGAAGGGTCCATTGTCCATTTTGGGTTCGTGGGCTTGCCCGTTACCCCTCTTTAGTTCTTTTCGAAGTCCGAGGTGTTACAAAAGGTATACTTATGTATAATATCATGTTATGGATACGCTCAAACTAACAATCACATCGGGTGCTGGCTACGTCCAGGATGTAGGCTCAGGACGTGACAGAAACCTATTTCATTCTACCCTTTCTCAAGCTAAGGTCTAATTCATTACTCAAGGATTATTTCATCATACGACAATTTCCCAATGATCACAATAGCTAGTTCACATAGTTTCTTTCCATTAGCCGGTTTAGAAGAATTTTATGCCAAGGGAAATCATTTTATAGGACTCTAGTTCTCCTCAACATCATAAACAAGTGTTAGAACATCAATTTCATCTTAAGAAGTATAATTTAACAGCTTAGAATTGAAATTAGAACCGCTTATCATATCTATCCATATATTTTTCCATTATATTCATGAATTCTAGCTAGGTGACGAAAAAACTCACCCCAGAGAAGAAAATAGCCCTAGCTAGTTAGTTTTGAAAATTTTGGTGGAGTTTTTTTGAAGTTATGAGGGAAAGAATTGAATAAATTGACTGAAACATACCATCTTTTTCTCGCATCATCCACCACAACGGTTGTCCCTTGGCTATGACTGACCCAATGTGGCAATACAACGACACGTGATATCATGCCCACCTCCTCTACAAAGAGTTGAAGTCTGCTACACTGCAGTGAAAGTCTCCTTAACCAGTAACTCGGGAAAATAAATAAATAAATTTAGTCTCATTTCACAACACATGAATTTTATCCACAAGATATCACGACACTACAAGCTGTACATGATACGAAATCACTAACAATCTTAGAATCTCCTACGAAAGTCTAAATCACTAGCTAGATCACCTCCTAACGTAACGGAACACAATACAACATAATTAAGAACACAAATCATCAATATTAAACAAGGGATATCCGTTTTTAAAACCTCCACATCTTCGAATTCTTATTAGCACAACTCACTATGG